AGTTACCTCCTCCTGTCTACAGGTTGGGGTCATGATGGTGAACAAGTGTGCAAAGTTTCAAAGCATTATGTCAATGGACTCAAAATATTTGAGGTATTACAAAAAGTTTAACGTAAATTCTAAGTCGAAAAAGGGGCATAATTCTGTCACAATGCTTGATACAGTTACCTCCTCCTGTCTACAAGTTGGGGTCATGATAGTGAACAAGTGTGCAAAGTTTCAAAGCCGTAAGTGGTTACGCCGACGCCGACGCTCGGGTGACTACAATAGCTCTACTTATTCTTATCGAATAGTCGAGCTAAAAAAGGTCTTTTTTTGTTTTTACTACAGACATATAAGAAAAGTCAATGATATCCCGGGACGGAGCCAATTTTGACCCAAAGGCTATTATTTGAATAAACTTGGTAGACACTCATTAGAAGATGTTTCATGCTTAATATATAAACTCTATCTCTTTGGGTTTTTTTTAAAGAAGATCTTTTAAGTTTTTAATATAAACATATAAAGAAAATCAATGACCCCCTTGTTGGGTGGTCTTTTATTTGAACAAACTTGGTAGACACTAACTAGAAGATGTTTCATGCCTAATATCTAAGCTAACTTAGACTAGCTATTTGGGTTTTTTAAAGAAGATTTTTTTAGTTTTTACTATATACATATTAGGAAAATCAATGACCAATGGGGCGAGGCCAATTTTGACCTCTTTTTTATTATATACATACATGTATAAGGAACATCAATGACCTCCTGGGGTGAGGCCAATTTTGACCCCTGGGCTTTTATTTGAACAAACTTGGTAGACAAAATATCTAAGCTCTAGCTCTTTGGGGTTTTTAAAAGAGGATGCAACCAGATTTTTGCTTGGAAACAATTTTTAAAAGAACATTCCTGTGAAGTATGGATGAAAATGGCTAACAGGTTTATGAGGAGATGTCGTTTAAAGTAAAAATTTATGGATTGATGGATGCCGGACAGACGCCTGACGGACGACGTAGGAAAAGCGATCACAAAGCTCACCATGTCACTTTGTGAAAGATTGAAGCCAGTACTAGTAATTGGGTTTGTCACTTTTCTCCAGGCTGCATAATTTTCAGAATATTTGTAGATGTAGTAACCCCAGAGGACCAGTTTTTACACCAGGGGCAAGATTTACATATATTTTGTAAAGGACTACATAGTGATGTTGAAGCAAAATATCTAAAGTCTGTGCATTGCATTTTCTGAGTATATTGTTAAGAAATTTTTACTTTACAGGTCAATAAAATAAGTGACCCCAACTTAAGGGCAGTGCCTTTTTTTACTCCAGTAGCTTGATGAATACAACTTTTGTATATGTTCACTGGTCAAAGTTACATGCAAAATATCTAAGCTCTAGGCATTGCAGTTTCACAAAAGACTGAAATGTTTTTTTCTATGTAAGTCTATATAAACTAAGTGATCCCTGAGTTGGGATCAATAATTTATATAACTTTTGTAGAGGACCAAGGGCATATCTATTTTCTTGGCATTGCACTTTCAGAGAACCTCTTAGCACTGCACTTTCAGAGAAGAAGATATTCAAGAACTTAAGAATACAAGTCTATGTACTCTAAGCAACCGCTAAGGTGGGTCTATTTATGACTATCAGGGCATGACTTAAATAATATTTGTAAAGGTCAACTAGGCAATGCTGTATGCCAAAAAATCTAAGCTCCTGACATAACCGTTTGGCAAAAAAAGCAATAAATATCTTTTCCATACAAGTCTAAATAAATCAGTGACCTCCATGGTGGGCCAGTTTTGACCTCATGGGCATACTTTACATAATTTTTGTAGAAGATCACAAGGTGATGCTACATGCAAAATATCTCTGGGCATTGTAATTTCAGAAAAAAAACATTTTTCAGACATTCTTTACTATCAAGTCTGTGTAAAATAAGTGAACCTCAGAGCACAACCATTTTTGACCCTAGTTGCATGAATTACGTAACTTTTGTAAGGATGTACTTGGCAATGCTGCTTGCAAAATACATCAGCCCTTGGTATTTTACTTTCATAAAAGAAATCTTAAACTGTTTTCCTAATCAAGTCTATATAAAATAAGTAACCCCCAGGAAGGGGCCAATTTTGACTCCAGGGCCATGATTCATATAACTTTTGTAGAGGTCTTTATACAGTACTTCAAGCCAAATTTCTAAGACACTTGAGGTACAAACCATTCAAACAACCTTTCTGGCCAAACAGATTCAAGTAATGATTTAAATGTTTTGTATGATTAATAACTTAATTGCAGTATTTATCACCATATTTCTACTGTGTAACTAACACAATAAGGGCTATCTATCACCATACATGCCATAATTTTTAGACAAGATAATCAGCGGAAACCATTTTGACATTTCAGGCCCCTGTGACCTTGACCTTTGACCTAGTGACCCCAAAATCAATAGGGATCATCTACTAGTTATGACCAATTACTATGTGAAATATGAAGACTTTGTGATAAATCATTTTCAAGATTATCAGGGGAAACCATGTGGTCTACCGACGGACAGACTGACAGACCGACAGACAGACCGACATTAGCAAAACAATATACCCCCTCTTCTTCGAAGGGGGGCATAATAAAGCTATGTTAAGTAAGGACAATTAGCTAGTTGGTTACTTGAAACATTCGCTTAATTCTGTAGATTTCATCACCTCATATTTAGAGGTACTTTTTACGGTGTTTGACCACTAATAACTGCCTGCAGGCTGATTAAATTTACAGTGTATGACACCTTCGCTCAGGAAGCCACAGGGGGTAAACAATTAATCATTTAATTGATCGAAATTATTGCCGATAATTGTTTGTTGGAAAGGGCACATAGATATACCAATCAAAGGATTAGTGTCACCATTGCAATGCTGTAAGGGGATAATCGTTCGTTATTAGCGTTCTAGAATAGTTTATAAACAAGAACGTGTTTGTTAAACACAAATGCCCCCGGCTTAGATTCTTGTCAGTAACAATATTTAAAATAAAGGTTGTATGGGCTAAAGTGTAAAAAAACAATTTTTAGCACTAGTGACCTTGACCCAACTGACCCCTAACTCCATCCAAAGGAAGAATATCATGCAATTTATTTTCCTACCAAATATGAAACAAATCTGTCAATATATAAAGGCTATATGGGCAAAAGTGTAAAAATCTATTTTTAGCACCGTTGACCTTGACCCAACTGACCCCTAACTCCATCCAAAGGAAGAATACCACGTAAGTTATCTTTCTACCAATTATAATACAAAACTGTCAATAAATAAAGGCTGTATGAGCAAAAATGTAAAAATCTATTTTTAGCACTGGTGACCTTGACCCAACTGACCCCTACCTCCATCCAAAGGAAGAATACCTCAATTTTATGTTCCTACAAAATATACAAGACATCTGTCGATAGAATAAGGTTAATACACCTGTAAAAGTGTAAAAAAATCTATTTTTGACATTGGTGACCTTGACCCAAATGACCCCTTACTAAAGGAAAAGGAAGAGGACCTCCCTTGGTATGACTATTATAAACATGAAAGACATTAACTTCTGCTGTATGAGCAGAAATGTTTAGATTTATTTTTTTACACAAGTGACCTTGACCTTGACCTAGAGACGCCTAACGCCACAAAATATTAGAGGACCGTTAAAGGTATCCACCTACCAAATATGAAAGATATCATTAAATAAATTAAGTAATTAGGTGAATTTTTTTTACAAATCCAACTTGGCGGAATAGGTTAACCATACAAGGCCCTATTTTCAAAGTGATAAAAAGGGAAATAACTGGGAAAATGGATGGCACATTTATATAACTTGGCAATATCATGTACATTGTATTGATAAGTAAGTGTGAAAATTATTAAGCCATTAGTTCAGATAGAACATAAGATATTTCCAACTTGCCAGTTTAGATTAACCATTATTCATTTTCTAAGTGCTGAAAAGGGCCATAACTTGGTGCAAATGGAAGCGATAGTTATGTAACTTGCCCAGATCATATACTTTGTATGGATAAGTAAGTGTGTAAATTATGAAGCCATTGGTACAGGTAGAACTTAAGAAAAATCCAACTTGCCGTTCTAGGTTTACCTCGTACGGACAGACGGACGGACGGACGGTTCAATTACTATATGCCCGGGGGCATAAAAACAGACAATAAGATTATAAAATAATGTAAAATTTTTGGTTACAAAGTAGATTATTTTTGATTTTTTTTACCGGGACATAAATCATCTCCAGGACACCTCCGGGACAGACACCTTATTTCCGGGACTTTCCCAGACATCCGGGACGTTATGGCATGTATGCTATCACTTACCTGTGCTGTTTTAACGACTCTGTAAAAATGGTATTGCACTGCAGTGCATATATTTTGACATAACATCATTTTCCTTTTACAAACATTAAGATGCGCTAAATGTAAGTGTTATACTGTAGGCACATCAATGAAAAATTGATCTTTTTTCACTTCAAACGGTCTTTATTTTTGATATGTTATCAATAGAATATTAAATTTGTGCAAATTTAATACTAAATTTATTGAACTTGTTGAATAAAATGATATTGTGCTCGCTAGAGGCTCAGAGGCTCGCATAATATAATTTAATTCAACTCCTTCAACAAATTCAGTATAAAACCTACACTCATTCAATATCCTCTATTTATGTATATTTTGACCTCTTTTTGGTAAGTAACATGGTTTGTAAGTGCGGGTTGCAATGTATAAATAACTTTCTTTGTTTACTCCACAATATTTTACTTTTTAAATACATTTTCAAAATTTGCATGAATCTGGCTTACTGCTTTACGTAAAATATTACCACAGCAACAATATGTAAAAGTTTTTAATACATTTTCATAAAGATCATAAAGATGATAGAATTATTAGATCTATCTCATCTTAGGCAAAGAATATATTGGAAATGACCAAAGAAAGGCAGCCATGGGAGGTAATAATTGCTATGTAAGTTCTTTTGCAATCAATACTGACCTGCAGCAAATTTTGTTCTTTCTCGTTCCACGAATTCAAAGACTTTGAGCCAGTTACCACAGAAATCTGTATTTTGAAATGTGTGTTATTCTTATTAAAACTACATGAACAAACATTACAATTTATATGGTTTAAAAGAACAAGAGGGCCATGATGGCCCTGAAGTCGCTCACCTGTATATAGGCCCCCGGAGCGGGGTCAGTTTAAACCCCAGGGCTTTTATTTGAACAAACTTGGTAGACATCCATTAGAAGATATTTCATGCTTAATATCTAAGGTCTAGCTGGTCAAGTTTTTTTCTTTACACATATAGTTAAAAACAATGACACATCTGGGACAGGGCCAGTTTTGACCCAAGGGCTTTTATTTGAACAAGCTTTGTAGACACTTACTAGAAAATGTTTCATGCTTAATATCTAAACTCTAGCTATTCGGGTTTTTTCAAAGAAGACTTTTAAGTTTTTGCTATACACATATAAGGAAAATCAATGTCAGCAGGGGCGGGGCCAATTTTGACCCCAGGGCTTTTATTTGAACAAACTTTGTAGACACACACTAGAAGATGCTTCGTGCTTAATATCTAAACTGTAGCTATTTGAGTTTTTTCAAAGAAGATTTTTTAAAGTTTTTGTATAACACATATAAGGAAAATCAATGACCCCCGGGGCGGGGCCTATTTTGACCCCAGGGCTTTTATTTAAACAAACTTGGTAGACACTCACTAGAAGATGTTTAATGCTTAGTATCTAAACTCTAGCTATTTGGTTTTTTTCAAAGAAGATTTTTTAAGTTTTTGCTATACACATATAAGGAAAATCAATGAACCCCGGGGCAGAGCCAATTTTGACCCCACGGCTCTTATTTGAACAAACTTGGTAAACATCCATCCATTAGAACATGTTTCATGCTAAATATCTTAGCTCTAGCTCTTTGGGTTCTTTAAAAGAAGACTTTTTAAGTTTTTACTGGGATACGGACAAAAGCCCCCCTGGATGAAAGCCCCCCCCCATCTAAAAATGACAAAGTGGACAAAAGCCCCCCATGAATTTTCCACATAGGACAAAAGCCCCCCCCCCCCATAAAAAAGTAAAGGTAGGACAAAAGCCCCCCCCCCCCCCACATGGTCCATCACATTTACATTTAGTGTCAACGAATTAATATCTGCCTTTTTTCAATTAATTTGGTTATTTCATCATCCACCAGAACAGAGTGAAGGCTCTTTGTGAGCAGTTCGACAAGGGTGAGAAGACTATGGCACAATTTCAGTATGCCATGTCACAATGTATCATTTTGAAAGAATTAACAAAATAAACAATTGTATTGAAAAAACATGCATATACAAATATATGTCTTCTATTTGTTAATTAAATATATATAACAAAATAACCAAATTAATTGAAAAAAGGCAGATATTAATTCATTGACACTAAATGTAAATGTGATGGACCATGGGGGGCTTTTGTCCTACCTTTACTTTTTTATGGGGGGGCTTTTGTCCTATGTGGAAAATTCATGGGGGGGCTTTTGTCCACCTTGTCATTTATAGATGGGGGGGGGGGCTTTCGTCCGGGGGGGGGGCTTTTGTCCTACACTCTTTTTTACTATATGCATATAGGGAAAATCAATGACCCCCTGGGGCGAGGCCAATTTTGACCCCAGGGCTTTTATTTGAACAAACTTGGTAGACACCCATTAGAAGATGTTTCATGCTAAATATCTTAGCTCTAGCTCTTTGGGTTTTTTAGAAGAAGATTTTTTAAGTTTTTACTATATGCATATAGGGAAAATCAATGACCCCCTGGGGTGGGGCCAATTTTGACCCCAGGGCTTTTATTTGAACAAACTTGGTAGACATCCATTAGAAGATGTTTCATGCCAAATATCTAAGCTCTAGCTCTTTGGGTTTTTTAGAAGAAGATGTTTAAAGTTTTTTCTTTTGGTTGCCATGGCAACCAGAGTTCTGCATGGAATGGAATTCTTTGAACAACTTTGTTAAGGCTTCACACAAGGAACATCCCTGTGAAGTTTCATTATGATCTGCCTTAATAATATGGTTTCAGAAAAGATGTCGTTTGAAAAGTGTGAACGGACAACGGACGACGTACGACAGACGACAGACGAAGAGTGATCCTAATAGCTCACCCTGAGCATATGCTCAGGTGAGATAAAAACAATACAGTGTAACTTCCGTATTCCGGAACTTCTAAAATCCAGAAACTTCTGAAACCCAAACATTTTTTAGGGTCCCTAATATTTTCTCCTATTTTCTAAATAATGAAAACCTCTGAATAACAGAACTTCTAAATTCTGAATTCCGAACAATTTTCCGGTAAAATTTGGGTTATATCAATTCAAATTTACAGCCAAAATCTGGAAATAAAAAGGTGTGAAGGAATATGATACTTGTGATTGTAAAATCTTCAAAATGCCAGATGTCAAATGTCTTCTAATTTGCAATTATTACCATTTATGTTGACACCTATTAGAATCACAACCTGTGAACACTTGTTTCTGGTGAAGTGTGAAAATTTTAAGACTGACAATTATAATGGGATTAAAGGTTAATAGCTGGTACTACATGAAAATATACTAAAGGATAAATTGTGATAATTAACATAATGCTATTGTATCAACAAATTCAGGTATAGATTACAAAGATATTTAATATACATGTAGTTATAAACTTTTTTAAATGTCCTATAATTTAGGTTTTAGGAGTTTAATCAGCTTCATTTATTTTTCATCACGTTTTTTCTTACAAAACTGATGTTTAGTGTTTCTACTTATTCGGATAATTCAGAACTTCTGAATCCCGGAAAAACTTCCAAATTCCAAACTTTTTTGCTCGTCCCATAGGTGTTCGGTTTTCAGAAGTTACACTGTATAACAAATTTTATACTTGCCACTTCTACAAAGTTTACAAATTTTCTAAATCCTACATAATATGTATCAGTAAAAGATTGGTAACAATTATCATTATTGGGCCGGTCTAAAACGCAGACGCTTATGCAGACAATATAGAATATATAGTAAAACGCAGACAATATAGAATATATAGTAAAACGCAGACAATATAGATATAGAGTGTTTTCACAAAATGCAGACGATAAAGAAATAGAAGGTGTGAATTAGACTCTTAACAGCTTGTCACCACTTTATTTTTCAGATTAACTTTATAAAATAAGAGATTTATAAGAATTATTATTTGATACAAATATATATATATACATATAAAACATATAAAACAAAGTAAGCATTTATAATTATTTTATTTAAATATAAAACAATGTTATAAACATTTATACATATAAAGATCATTATTATTTACTCTATATCTATAGTGTCTGCATTTATCACAAGTTGTACTATATATCTATATTGTCTGCGTTTTACTATATGTTTCATATTGTCTGTATTTACTCTATATCTATAGTGTCTGCATTTTACTATATGTTTCATATTGTCTGCATTTATCAAAAGTTGTACTATATATCTATAGTGTCTGCGTTTTACTATATGTTTCATATTGTCTGCATTTACTCTATATCTATAGTGTCTGCATTTTACTATATGCTACATATTGTCTGCATTTATCAAAAGTTGTACTATATATCTATAGTGTCTGCATTTTACTATATGTTTCATATTGTCTGCATTTATCACAAGTTGTACTATATATCTATATTGTCTGCGTTTTACTATATGTTTATATATAGTACAACTTGTGATAAATGCAGACACTATAGATATAGAGTAAATAATAATGATCTTTATATGTATAAATGTTTATAACATTGTTTTATATTTAAATAAAATAATTATAAATGCTTACTTTGTTTTATATGTTTTATATGTATATATATATATTTGTATCAAATAATAATTCTTATAAATCTCTTATTTTATAAAGTTAATCTGAAAAATAAAGTGGTGACAAGCTGTTAAGAGTCTAATTCACACCTTCTATTTCTATATCGTCTGCATTTTGTGAAAACACTCTATATCTATATTGTCTGCGTTTTACTATATTTTCTATATTGTCTGCATAAGCGTCTGCGTTTTAGCCTGTGCCATCATTATTACTTAAATACGAGCCACCACCAAGTGAGGGAAATGCTTGACTTCTTTACTTTTTCTGAATCCAAACAAATAAACAGTTTAAACAAATATTTAAAAAAGAAAAATTAAAGAAAATATTGAAGGTTTTCCTTTTTGATCTAGGTCAGTTCAACCTTTAAGAATGTCTTTTGAAAAAGGTTGTTTTGTGCAAGTATGAAAAATTCCATTGATTATTTACAAAGTTACAGCCAATTATACCAATAATCAGTGGAAATAAAATAATCTGACCTTCAACATCAAGGTCATACTTGAGGCAAGGTCAATTTGAGTGGGTTTAATATACATGACGTTTATGAATTATGAGAAGTTGTGTCTTAATATGTAAAGTAAATTCATTTATATATAACAAAGTTATAGTCAGTTACAGAAAAAAAAGAGAATTTCATTAATTTAACCTAGACAGTCATGGTCAAATAAAGGTCAAGGTGATATTTAAATAATTCAATATGTTTGTTTGGTAGTAAGTCTTGTTTTATCCGAGTTTAAATCAAATCTGTACATAAATAACAAAATTATGACAATTTAACCAAAATTCAATAACGGTCAAGACGAACAAGATCATTCAAAATTCAAGGTTAAGGTCAGTTTAACCTTTTAGAAGGTCTTGTCCAAAATGTTGTTTTGTCAAAGTATGAAGATAATCAATTTATTAATTACCAAGTTACAGACAATTATGGCAAAAATCGGATCTATCCTTTAAAGTTTGATTGAAATTCAACCAATGGTTTGACCTGTGAAGGCCGGACAAGATTGTCTAGTTTTAGCTCTGGCAGCGATTTTGTGCAGCAAAGCAGAACATGCCGGTGATGTGCACTGATCACTCCTGTAAAGTTTGGTTGAAATCTCACCAGTAGTTTGACCTGTGAAGGCCGGACATGATTTTCTTGTTTTAGCTCTGGCAGCCATTTTGTGCAGCAAAGCAGAACATGCCGGTGATGTGTACTGATCACTCCTGTAAAGTTTGGTTGAAATCTCACCAGTAGTTTGACCTGTGAAGGCCAGACAAGATTTTTATCTATTTTTAGCTCTGACAGCCATATCGTGCAGTGAAGCGGAACATACACCGGTGAATCCCACCAAGACATGCCATTTTGAGCAGCTAGGCAGAATGTACAGGAGAAGTGCACAACTAGGGATGGTACTGATCACTCCTGTATGAAGTTTGACCTGTGAAGGCCAGACAAGATTTTCCTATTTTCAGCTCTAGCTGCCATTTTGTGCAGCAAAGCAGAACATGTCGGTGATGTGCACAACTAGGGATGGTACTGATCACTCCTGTAAAGTTTTAAGGACGGACAAGATTTTTCTATTTTTTGCTCTGTGCATATCCAGTAACACAGCATATAATGTAAAAGTAACACCAAATATGTGCTTAACTATTGCCAAAACGAAGAACACAGTATGTAAACAAACCAAAATATTTTATTCTAAATTAAATATAAAGAAATGAATTAGCGCATATAGCTGCTACGACATTATACTTTAACCAGCATTACAATTTTTTTCAGAAATATGTTTACTTTTTAAGATCATTTGTGAGAAAGGCAACCTGATTACCGTTTTGAGGGTGACTAAAATTTGTGTTACGTCAAATTAATTTGTATATTCAACACATTTAAACGTATTCATGTTCGGTATACCTAAAACATTTGTCAAACTACAAATGTTGTATTACAATAGAAGGAAGCTGGTTAAACAAGATTTAGCTACTTTAAATGAGACAACCGCCATTGCTTCAGTGCTTTATTCACTAATTTATCGTTACCTCATAAAAATGGTCTTAATTATGTTATATCTGACTATCTGTCATGTGTAACACTGTAATTTTCAAAATTTTTGAACAATGTATTCAACAGTAAGTTATGGCTTTAATTTTCAGCTTACTGAAGATGACATTTAACTTCTTTTATTTGATCAACAGTTTCAATCACATTAATGATCTGTGAAACATGGATGGGAGATTTTTGTACTGCTATACAAATGTACAAGTACTTGTATATCATACTTTATCTTGTCAACTTGTGTATATTGCTAGAACATAATGTATGCAAATGCAAAATTCTTAATTTTATGTCATATGTTGAACAAAACAGGCTGTTAAAATATTTTCATTCCGATTTTCAATAACAAGTAAGCATTAAATGCTAAGTACTTTTGAGTAAAAATATACAAAACAAATTTGTGTATTTTACCAGCTTGTCTGTTGGAAAAATATCATACACAATTCTAATATACTCCATCATAGCTTCCACTGAGCATGTCCATAAAGTCTTGAAGATTGGGGCAGCAGGTATAATTCCTGGTGTCTTCCCTTTAGCAAGAATATCATATTCTATACTCTGGTTACATGATTGCTGGAAAGCTGGGCTGTGATCTAAGACAAACACTGTCTTGTGTGTGACAGACACAGCCATTGTTCTGAAATAAAACAAAAGTACATCTTTGTTTTATAAATAAACAAAATATTATCAAAGTATTGCAAGCAAATAAAAGTCCCCTCACTAGCAATGTTCAAAAGGGCCAGGCCATTCATTTTTACCATTGTTTAAGACATGAATGAACTTAAATCATTTTTGTTCTTAGTTTATCAATTCTGTATCATAGTTACGTGTTAATAGGAAATTATGTTTATACAACTCCAATTTTCTCAGTATGAATATTCATAACTAACAATTTCAACTACAGTCGACTCCGCTTATAACGAACTCAATGGGACATTTAAATATTGTTCGTTATATCCAAAGTTCGCTAAAAGCCAAGTAGCAACAACTTGCTGACTTGTTTTGGTGGGTAAATTTGCCGTGAAAAAGTACCGTTTCATTTGTATAATCGGTATTTTACGGCAGCGCTAATTTAATGCGGGTCATTTTATTGAACAATATATTATGTGCATGGTACATGTATTTAGACATGTAGTACTAGTTAACCATTTGTATTTTTTTATTTGGTAATTATCGGGTATTTACAGCAATTTATCAACTGAGGGTGCGAAATACAAATTTTCAGTAACAAGTAGGAAATTATGTTGTGAGAACATTTAATCAAAATCTTTATTCTTAACTGCGCAATCACTCGATTGTATAATTACTGGATAGCAGTATTCATGTACTGATCTTAATCGAGAGCATCCCGATATTTCAATTATAACAGTTTGTTTTAACCGAGAAAAATTACATGTTTTTCGCTGTTTGGGACTTGAAAAAATGGTTCGATATATCCGAAAATTCGTTTTAAGCGAGTATGTATTAAGCAATGTGATTTAATATAAAATAAAGAAGGAATCGGCCGGGGATGTCAGATTTAGTTCGCAGTTGTAAGGCATGTAAAGCTTGTTATTGTTTCTGAAATATTCTATTTTTAGAATCATTATTTATTCATTAAATAATTAACTTATTGTCATTTTTAGCATTTAAGTAATGTATATGCAATATTCCTATTTAAATAAGGACAGTAAAGTAATTATATTGTTTTCAGCATTCTAATAATTCACTATGTATAAACGTTCCTAAAATTAAATGTTACCTTTCTCCGAATTTCATGTTAGATAATTTGTTGACATTTAAGGAAGCACGATTATTTCTTTATTCCTGGATTAACATGTCTGTTACTCCACATTTTTGTAGTATCCCTTATGTTTTGATGTTATAATCAGTAAATATTCATGAAACATGCTCTAATCAATTTATTTTTGTCAAAATAATAATTCCTAAAACTTTCCCAAAATGTTGGCAATCTCCTGGTTTAGACCCCCATGTATTTTTCAGGAGTAAAACTTGCATATAATACACTAAAGAAAACGGAATGAACCTTATATATACTCCTGGTTTAGACCCCGGGGTCTAATCCAGGATATAGCCAAAATGTTCATGGAGGCTGCCATCTTTGTTTTAGGTACACGAGTACCGATATCTGTAGTTTGTTTAGAAACAAGCATATTTGACTTTATTGTGTAACATGTATTTTGTATTATGTGATTATAATGTTTGCTTCTCAAATTGTTCAAGAGATTTACTGTTATAGTTTATTTTTGTAAAAAAGGACCGTACTATTTGTTCGGTCATTCGCGTAGTAAAGTTAGGTTGTGGAATCACCCTAATTCTCTTTAAATTGTAATAATCCTGCTAAATTACCATAAGTATTTAATTGAAATGTATTTAATAGCGTAAGTGTTATTTCTCAACATAATGATTACTTACAATTTTATATGTTTACTTTGTATTTTGTTATTATGATCTGTTGAGCTGTTGATGGGAATTCCTAACCAATTCTGATTGGCTTAGATAAATCCTAAGTGCAATCTGATTGGTTGGGAATCCTTTCCTGAATTCCTAAACGGCTCAAAGGTTATAAATAGAGCGACAGTCCTCATTTGGAACAACAATGCCCACTTAAGTTGCTTGGGCGCGATAATTCAAAATTGAGCAGAAAACATCAAAACTGAATTTTAGTAAGTTTCTATTTAGGAAAGACTCCTAAATCACATTGGAATATGTATTAAACTTTTATTAAGCAACTTTCCCTGAATGAGAGCTGACGTACTTCATGTTATAACATTTAATCCTAAATTAAACAAATATTAGACCAAAGAATCCAAACTTGCTAAAAGCGTTGTTGACTTATCTTTTAGGAAATCATAAAATCACTTAACATAGCGCCTTATGAAATGATGCCGAAACCTTTTCTGTATATTGATGATAAGTTATATTAAATGTTAGTATATATATGCAGTTTATGTATACAAAACTGATGTATACACTATTAAACCAAAGAATTGAAACTTGATGAAAGCGTTGTATTATTTACTCCGGAAATCCTAAAGAAAAGAGTCTACCAATATAACATTGAAACCGGGTGCTGTATATAACTGATGCTAAGTTAGCATATATGTTTATACAGTAGAACTTGTGGCGTATTTTTGAAACAGCTATCCTGACACTGCGGCAAAAGTACGTTACACTATTAACGATAATTCCTTATAAGGGAGTTCGATATAAGTGGAGTCGACTGTTGGAAAAGTTCCAAGTTCTTTAAAACTTGTTGGTTTATTGGCGTCCGCGCCGAAGTGCTACACAATATATGGAATGAAATCAGATTTTTTGAAAGGGCAATTGCAACTTCTTGGGCCTTTTCGTCGGTCATAAAAGCTGATCATTCCAATTGGTATGAGGGTGTTTCATTATCAACAAGAGCTGTCCGTAAGACAGCGCGCTCGACTTTTTTATTGCTTGCCAATAAAAAAAGTTTTTGCAGTAAAAGGCAATACAAGAATCTCTGTATTTTTAAAGTGAACTAGTTGTTTGATACCCTTGAATATTACAGCAATGTTTATATGACATAATTTATGGTAAAGTGAACAAGTGGATAGGAATGAATTTTTTTAGATTTTTTAAGTTTTTTAGTGCTTGCCTATAATACAAAACATTGACAGTTAAGGGCCATAATTCAAATAAAATCTTTGACAGAATTACCTTCTCCTGGACATGTTTGGGAATCATGATTGTAAACAAGTATTCCAACTTTCAAATTAATATCTCAAACAGTTCAGTCAAAAAGTGGACTGGTACTAAAAACTTAACCAAGATTCTAAGTCGATAAAAGGCCTTAATTTTTAAAACAAATCCTTGACAGAGTTACCTTCTCTTGCGTACAGATGGGGTAATGATGTGAAATAGCATTAAAAGTTTCAAAGCAATATCTCAAAGGGTTAAGGCAATAAGTGGATTTTACCCATATTCAATGTATTTTCTAAGTCAAAAAGGGGCATAATTCTGTCAAAAACCTTGACAGAGTTATGTCCTCTTGTCTGTTGATGAAGGTCGTGATGGTAAACAAGTATGGTCAGTTTCAAAGCAATACCTCCAATGGTTTTGAAATAAAGTGAGGTGGTACAAAAAACTTAACCAAGCTCAATACACTTTCTAAGTCAAAAAAGGGCCATAATTCTGTCAAAAACCTTGACAGAGTTATGTACTCTTGTCTGTAGATGGAGGTTATGATGGTGAACAAGTATGGTAAGTTTCAAAGCCATACTTGTAATACTTCTGAAATAAAGTGGGGTGGTACGAAAAACTTAACCAAGGTGTGACGCCGACGCCGACGCCGACGCCGACGCCGGGGCGAGTAGGATAGCTCCCCTTTTCATAGAAAAGTCGAGCTAAAAATGAAATGTCACGATATGTACAATGAATAGTGAACTGGAGAACTTGCAAAACATATTCAAATAAAATTATCCTATCAGTCAATTAGTAGCGCTCTTCGGTGTTTTTTTATTATAAATCATTTTGTAGTACACAGTGGGTTGAGAAAGTCTGAAAATCTATTTAAAGAAGAAGATTTATTTAACAAAACAGTCATTCATGTCGCGCTATGGTAATAAATAACGAACTGGAGAATTTTGCAATAATTGAAATTCAAAAATATTCAAACAATAAATTGCACTCTTTATAAATCTATAGAAAAAATTTAAGTAAGCCATTTTTATGAATTGTTACATCTTTTTTGCTGTTCTAAATTTTGTTTGAAGGCAATCGATTTTATGGTTGTTTCAGTGAAAGATTTGCCGAATATTGTGACATTTTAACAACAGAAACTTTTGTCTGCAATTTTAACATGAGTTGTTACGGGTTTATTGATAGTCCTGAATGTGAACACACTGGTTGGTCAGACAAGGTATTTTGAAGTAATTCATTAGTAGTAGATTGACCTCCTAATAAATCAATTAACAAACTAAATTAAATTAAAATTAAACTTTTTTTTTTCTTTTTACATTATTTATGTATCTCTCATCTCTCATATCCCTATTGGGAAGAAAAAATGTTTAATTTTAATTACTTAATATAAATACTAAATCTTATAACAAATATGGTATCTGATATTTTCAAAGTGTAATAAAATCATAACTACAGGTAAAAGTATTAAATATTTTACAAGATCAACCAATATACTTAGGAGAAAATTTAGAGAAACTTTGAAAACAGGCACTGATTTTGGTCAATTTTAGGAAATTTTTTAATTAGGCTTTTTAAGTAGGTAAATGGTCAAACAAGTTTTAAAAATGGATGGGGTAGGGTAACATTGTTATTACATATTTCATTAACTTTTAGTAGAAACAATCATTTTCCTTATGTGGATTGTTAGCTGAATGTTACCATTTGCTTCTTACCAAAATGAATGGGAAAATATTTTCCATAAGGATGACATTGTAGATCATTTAAAGGTTCCTTATTTCTGAAAAGGGGCCCTTCTAACATCCAAGATTAAGGTCAGAAAATCGGCCATAACTCGATTTCTGTACAGTTAGGTTTGTTTAAATTTTCCAGACAGGTATCCTTTAAGTTACATATCTAACCTATGTTGTCAATTTTTCAGTTCCTTATAGTGTCTTTAGGGTGGTCATATCCAAATCTTCAGGCATAAGCATATTTTATAGCATAAGATGTTAACAAGAACAAAAAAGATGCTCATAATCATAAAAACAATAAAGATACCCAAAATAAGGGAAGAAACTGTCTTATAATTAATATACAGTCGACTCTCGTTATCTCGAAGTCATCGGGACCGTCCAAAAAGTATCGAGGAAATGAAATGTCGAGATAAACATATTAGGGTTTGAATAAGGCAGAAAATGATTTTTACAAAAGACATGTGCATACCTTATGTCAAACTAGAACTCCGCGAGTCGGATGTGTCGCCTTGTGAACAATGTAGTTTAGGGGAAATGGCCAGGACAAAAATGAAATATGAAAAATAACAAAGGGCAATAACTAAAAAAATAATAAGTGCAGAGCAGCAGTTTCTGTACACTGCACTTCTTATCAATAAGATCTATCATTCTATGATGTTTCAAGTCCATAGCTTTCATACTTGAGGAGAAATGACCAGGACAAAAATAAAGTAAGAAAATCAACAAAGGGCAATAACTCAAAAATAAGAAATGCAGAGTATCAGTTCTTATGCATTGCACTTCTTTTTAATGAGATCTATCATCCTATGAAGTTTCAAGTCCATAACTTTTATACGTTCGGAGAAATGGCCTGGACAAAAATTAAGTATGAAAATTAACAAAGGGCCATAACTCAAAAATTAAGAAATGCAGAGTACCGATTCTTGTGCACTGCACTTCTTAATAATGAGATCTATCATCCTATGAAGTTTCAAGTCCATAGCTTTTATACTTAAGGAGAAATGGCCCGGACAAAATTAAAGTATGAAAATAAACAAAGGGCAATAACTCAAAAAATAAGAAATGCAGAGTACCAGTTCTTGTGCACTGCACTTCTTCTTAATGAGACCTATCATCCTATGAAGTTTCAAGTCCATGGCTTTTATACATTAGGAGAAATGGCCCGGACAAAAATAAAGTATGAAAATTAACAAAGGGCAATAACTCAAAAATTAGGAAGTGCAGAGTACTGGTTCTTGTGCACTGCACTTCTTAATAATGAGATCTATCATCCTATGAAGTTTCAAGTCCATAGCTTTTTTAGTTGAAGAGAAATGGCCCGGACAAAATTAAAGTATGAAAATTAACAAAGGGCAATAACTCAAAAAATAAGAACTGCAGAGTTAAATTAGATATTTGTATTAAACATGTATTTTTCTTCAAAATAAACTTTAAATAATAAATGGAAAAGCTATATGGTATTTTGTATAGTAGATATCTGTTGCGAACGGGCATTCACGCTTAGCGCCCGCAAATACCATTATCGGGTGCGCAACAAGATATTTGAGCATTTATATACGGTTAACTGGGAGTATCCGATCCCTGTTATATAAATCTTTGATATTACCAAAGCATACAAGTGGGAATTTTAAAGCAAAATGCCGCTATTGTTCATCAGAGTACAAATGCAGCCTGAAAGTAGTAAGTTCAAACCTTGTAACCCATTTAAATTGCTTTAACAAAGCTAAAAGATAACTAAGATTATGATATTTGAATGAAAAAATAATTCAGGTTATTGATCCACATTGCTGTAGTCCCGTCCCTAGATTTGCCACTTCAATGCCACCCTTTTCAATGGTGGAGTATTTAGACAATTTTCCACCAATAATGCCACCAAAACACCACCCAAATCATGAAAATGGTGAAAAATTTGAGCAGGACTGATGGTAGAGAATTTTCCAGTAAATTCACCTTTTGTACACTAAATGCCACCAATGAGTGGAAAGTTGGTGGAGTATTTAGACAAACTTTCACCATTATGCAACCTTAGGGTGGCAAACTCATTTTCCACTATTTGCCACTTGTTTCCACTTATCGCCACCATCAGGGTGGAAAATTGGTGGAGTATTTAGACGAATTTCCACCATAATGCCACCATTCACTGGCAAACTCATTTTCCACAAAATGCCACTTATTTCCACCTTTTGCCACCATTAGGGTGGAAAGTTGGTGGAGTATTTAGACACTTTTCCACCATTTTTCCACCTAAAAGTGGCAAATTCAGTTTTCACTAAATGCCACCTATTTTCACCCTTTCAGAAATTTTCCACCTTGTGGGTGGCAATAGCTGGAAACTGCTTGAAAGTCACCCTGTACCATAAAAGAGAAACAAACAAATTTTAAAAATAATCCTTTTTAATGTCTCCATATGAAATTATTGTCTCAAAAAATAGCAAAACATTAGTCCATTTATTTTCTTCAGTTTATCTTGCTATTCCTGGACAGTTTGAGGAGGTGCAGAATCACCCTATGGATTTCAGTCCTTTGGGTTGTCGGCCACTTTTCCTGCGCACAATCTAAAACAAAAAATATTATGAATGATTAATACAATAACTAGACCTATCACTGAAGGTGATTAATACCCCCACCAGCAGCTTTGACTATTTGAAAAATAAGTAGTCTGAAGAAAAATTTGAACACAAACTATCAACTGTGTACAAAGAAATATTTCAATTAATTGTAATCCCAACCCAGGTCTTCATATAAGCTTGCTATACACCAAGTTTGATAACAATATCTCATTCCTAAGTCTAGTTATTGTCCGGAAACCATTTTTCTATTTTTAGTAACACTGTAACGGTGACCTTGACCCTAGGGGGTCCAAATGCAATACCAACCCGTTCTTCATATCAGCTTGCTATACGCCAAGTTTGATAACAATATGTCATTCCTAACTCTAGTTATTGTCCAGAAACCATTTTTCTATTTTTAGTAACAGTGACCTTGACCCCAGGGGGTCCAAATGCAATACCAACCCAGGTCTTCATATAAGCTTGCTATACACCAAGTTTGATAACAATATCTGAATCCTACCTCTAGTTATTGTCTGGAAACCATTTTTCTATTTTAAGTAACGGTGACCTTGACCCCAGGGGGCCCAAATGCAATACCAACCAAGGTCTTCATATAAGATTGCTATACACCAAGTTTTATAACAATATCTCATTCCTAACTCTAGTTATTGTCCGGATACCATTTTTCTATTTTTAGTAACAGTGACCTTGACCTTGACCCCAGGGGACCCAAATGCAATACCAACCCAGGTCTTCATATAAGCTTGCTATACACCTAGTTTGATAACAATATCTCATTCCTACCTCTAGTTATTGTCCGGAAACCATTTTTCTATTTTTAGCAATCGTGACCTTGATCCCAGGGGGTCCAAATGCAATACCAACCCAGGTCTTCATATAAGCTTGCTATACACCAAGGTTGATTACAATATCTCATTCCTAACTCTAGTTATTGTCCGGAAACCATTTTTCTATTTTTAGTAACGGTGACCTTGACCTTGACCCCAGGGGGTCCAAATGCAATACCAACCGGGGTCTTCATATAAGCTTGCTATACACCAAGTTTGATTACAATATCTCATTCCTAACTCTAGTTATTGTCCGGAAACCATTTTTCTATTTTTAGTAACAGTGACCTTGACCTTGACCCCAGGGGGTCCAAATGCAATACCAACCCAGGTCTTCATATAAGCTTGCTATACACCAAGTTTGATTACAATATCTCATTCCTAACTCTAGTTATTGTCCGGAAACCATTTTTCTATTTTTAGTAACAGTGACCTTGACCTTGACCCCAGGGGACCCAAATGCAATCCCAACCCAGGTCTTCATATAAGCTTGCTATACACCAAGTTTGATAACAATATCTCATTCCTAACTCCCTAGTTATTGTCCGGAAACCATTTTACTATTTTTAGTAACAGTGACCTTGACCCCAGGGGGTCCAAATGCAATACCAAACCAGGTCTTCATATAAGCTTGCTATACACCAAGGTTGATTACAATATCTCATTCTTAACTCTAGTTTTTGTCCGGAAACCATTTTTATATTTTTAGTAATGGTGACCTTCACCCCAGGGGGGGGATGCAATACCAACCTGGGTCTTCATATAAGCTTGCTATACACCATGTTTGATTACAAAATCTCATTCCTATCTCTTTAGTTAGTGTCCGGAAACCATTTTTCTATTTTAAGTAACGGTGACCTTGACCCCAGGGGCCCCAAATGCAATACCAACCCAGGTCTTCATATAAGCTTGCTATACACCAAGTTTGATAACAATATCTCATTCCTAACTCTAGTTATTGTCCGGAAACCATTTTTCTATTTTTAGTCACGGTGACCTTGACCTTGACCCCAGGGGGTCCAAATGCAATACCAACCCGTTCTTCATATAAGCTTGCTATACACCAAATTTGATTACAATATCTCATTCCTAACTCTAGTTATTGTCCGGAAACCTTTTTTCTATTTTTAGTAACAGTGACCTTGACCTTGACCCCAGGGGGCCCAAATGCAATACCAACCCAGGTCTTCATATAAGCTTGCTATACACCAAGTTTGATAACAATATCTCATTCCTAACTCTAGTTATTGTCCGGAAACCATTTTTCTATTTTTAGTAACAGTGACCTTGACCTTGACCCCAGGGGGCCCAAATGCAATACCAACCCAGGTCTTCATATAAGCTTGTTATACACCAAGTTTGATTACAATATCTCATTCCTAACTCTAGTTATTGTCTGGAAACCATTTTTCTATTTTTAGTAACAGTGACCTTGACCTTGACCCCAGGGGGTCCAAATGCAATACCAACCCAGGTCTTTATATAAGCTTGCTATACACCAAGTTTGATAACAATATCTCATTCCTAACTCAAGTTATTGTCCGGAAACCGTTTTTCTATTTTTAGTAACAATGACCTTGACCTTGACCCCAGGGGGCCTAAATGCAATACCAACCCAGGTCTTCATATAAGCTTGCTATACGCAAAATTTGATAACAATATCTCATTCCTAACTCTAGTTATTGTCTGGAAACCATTTTTCTATTTTTAGTAACAGTGACCTTGACCTTGACCCAAGGGGTTCCAAATGCAATACCAACCGGAGTTTCCACATAAGGTGGCTATATACCAAGTTTGATTACAATACCTCATTCCAAACTCTAGATATCATCCGGAAACCATGATGTGGACCGACCGACGGACCGACCGACCGACCGACCGACAAGCTGACTCCTATATACCCCCCCTAAACTTCGTTTGTGGGGGTATAATTAACAAGAAACATGGCAATGCCACAAAACCAGGTTTTCAATGATCTCCATTGTAGATAAATATGTTGTATTTGAAATACAAATACAAGCAATAAACAATGTAACTATGTGCAATGTAAAACATGAATAATGTAGGAGGAATTGCCACAGAAGAAGTGTTCACTATATATTCTGTATAAGGAAAAAATATATTCTGTATAAGGAAAAAAAACAAAGGGCCATAATTAGGTCAAAAATTATCCAATCACAAAACCTCTACAATATGCGCCAGGGCACTTGATGACAAAGCTTCTGTGAAAGTTTGAACAAAATCTGATGAGAAATGTAGGACTAGTTCAGCACAGAAGAATTTGTTCACTATATATTGATAATTCTGTATAAGGAAAAAAAAACAAAGGGCCATAATTAGGTCAAATATTATCCAATCACAAAACCCCGACAATATGCGCCAGGGCACTTGATAACAAAGCTTCTGTTAAAGTTTGATCAAAATCCGTTGAGAAATGTAGGAGAAGTTGCGCACAGAAGAAATTGTTCACTATATATTAGATGTATAAGGAAAAAAACAAAGGGCCATAATTAGGTCAAATATTATCCAATCACAAAACCCCAACAATATGTGCCAGGGCACTTGATAACAAAGCTTCTGAGAAAGTTTGGTCAAAATCCGTTGAGAAATGTAGGAGGAGTTGCGCACAGAAGAAATTATTCACTATATATTCTATATAAGGAAAAAAAACAAAGGGCCATAATTAGGTCAAATATTATCCAATCACAAAACCCGGACAATATGTGCCAGGGCACTTGATGACAAAGCTTCTGTGAAAGTTTGGTCAAAATCCGTTGAGAAATGTAGGAGGAGTTGCGCACAGAAGAAATTGTTCACTATATATTCTATATAAGGAAAAAAAACAAAGGGCCATAATTAGGTCAAATATTATCCAATCGCAAAACCCGGACAATATGTGCCAGTGCACTTGATGACAAAGCTTCTGTGAAAGTTTGGTCAAAATCCGTTGAGAAATGTAGGAGGAGTTGCGCACAGAAGTAATTGTTCACTATATATTCTATATAAGAAAAACAACAAAGGGCCATAATTAGGTCAAATATTATCCAATGGCAAAACCCCAACAATATGCACCAGGGCACTTGATGACAAAGCTTCTGTAAAAGTTTGGTCAAAATCCGTTGAGAAATGTAGGAGGAGTTGCGCACAGAAGAAATTGTTACGCCCGCCGCCCGCCCGCCCATCCGCCCGCCGGCATACCTCAATCTAATAACCAGTTTTTTCCTTCGAAAAACCTGGTTAAAAACATTAGCTTACATTTTTATATGACAATTGGATATTTCTATATTCAAGTTGAGTGCATAGATATGATTAAAACACTTTAACAAAACAGCATTGCAGACGTGGAAGAATCAGACTTTTCTTATTTACTCCAAGGCAGAAAATATACGCAGAATCAAAACTGATATTTTCATTCAGTTCATTAGTTACCTTCCAAGAACTTAACTTATGCCTTGTCTGCACAAGCAGGTCTGGCGTCAGACTCTCTGTTCCCTTTCCTCATGCCAAACAATGAGCAGCTTTTAATCTCTTCTACATGTATATTGAATAGCATTCTGAAGAGCCTTGCTGTACCTTTCTCATTTGAGGAATATGGATTCAGTTCTGCCATCACTTGGTCCTAAAATATGATTATCAATATCCAATAAGTAAAGACAGAAAATGATTATCAATATCCAATAAGTAAAGACAGAAAATGAAAAACTTTTGTAAGACCTTGGTATATGTATACAACTCTAAAATTTTAAAATAAGAAAGAAATAAGGAAATACAACACATCAACACCATTGCAGGTTGAGTAATTAATAATCTTCTAGTTTCAGTTCTTAACAAACCTTCATCAGGATAAATATTTGACAAAATTTCAAGCTAAAGTGTACAAAAACTCTAAAATTTGTAAAACAAAATGTAAATGCAAATTAAAGTGTCATAAAGAGTTTGAATAAAAGTAGGTTTGTAAATAGTGACTAATAGCTATATTTATTAAGAACTGAAAAGTGTCTTATTGAGTTACCTGTGACACTTCTTTCCTATCAATTCTAAAATCTTTGAATTAACTGAGAAACAAAGCAAGATGTAACCTTTGTAAAGCCACTGAAGAACAAGCGCGTTGCTCCAGGCTGCTCCTTATTGCTTTGTGTCTGCGAAAGAAAAATCTTATTTAATGCTGTTTCTGTTATGAACTGAATCTCCTAACAGCTTGTTACTCTAGACTGTCTAGTGATGGTTATATATCTATACTGCACTATGAAAAATGAATTACAACAATGAAGGAATGAAACTTACTAAAAGAACAGTTACTGACACACAAGGAAAAATGTTTATAGCATGAAAGTTGTAGTAATAGGTACCTGGTTATCTATAGTTTGATTGATGTAATATTGTACATAATGTTATTGTACTTACTGATTAATTTCTATAATTGTTTAGTCTGGTACATGCAGCTTTCTTTTTTAGTCAAGTTACAAACAAAACAAATATAAAACATAATTTTATACAATACCACTTCATATTTTTACTGTTAAAAAACAGTTTCTGCATCAATAACAATAATTATTGTACGTAAAAGTTGTTTACCTGAAACTTTGACTTGGAATGATAGTGCTGTTTATCTCCTTGTCTAATGTTATAATCTACACATTCACACTTCATCTAAAACTTCTCATTTCTATTTACCACACTAATAAGACTTTTAATGTATTCTTTGAGAAATCAAATATTCACCCTTACATTTTAAACAAAATATCTCCAGAATTGCTACAATACCAATAATTTCCTTTGTGTTTGCAAGCTTTAACTGACCTCAATTCCTTTGAATTCAAACGTTACAACTTTGTAACTGCATGGAGAGTCCATTATAATTTTAAATTGTGAGGGGTTATCCAAAAACCATAGCACCCATCATTTTATTTTTTACATTCATTTGAATGTATAAACTATGTCTAATACCTAAATAGTTTGAGTAGAAATAAGTTTTTGAAAGATAATTTAGCATGCTATTTTAACACAGATTCTACATAATAACATGTGTAATGTTGCCTCTCACAAAATAATCAAATGGAACAGTCTGGTCAGCATGAGTAAACTATTAACCCCCATGCATAGATTACTAGATAAGAGGGCAGTAGTTTTATCAGATCTGTTTTGTATGCTGTGTAATGTTAAATCTTAGAGGATGCAGTATTTACTAGCTAGTATTTACTTATCCTGATTATAAGAAATTATCAGACATTATGAGTTATTTACTTTTCACACAATTATTTTTACAATAGATTTAAAGCCTCTGAAAGGCATACTATTGTGTATGACTTATTTTCATACACAGACTTGGTTACTTAGAGTGAGGTATAATTAGCAAGCACAGTGCTTCATTATCTTGTAAGCTAATCTATTTTATATGTATATTTATTAAATAGCATTTAAATATTATTGTTAACAAGTTTGATTCATGTTTTTTTTCCTTAAAAATACATAACTCTCTCCTGCAAAGTTATGGAGTTATTGCCCTTTGTAAGGTTTCGTCTGCAAAGCATAGCACAAAAGATGTTAGAGACAATAATTTTAAACTCCACATATAACTAAATCTCATTTATGAGAAGTACAAGAAAAGCATTGATGCAAAGCATCAAAGGGCGTCCAAGCAAGAAATGCAACAAGTGAAGATGAACTTAAGTAGACATCTGATGACCAGATATTCTTATACTTTTCAATGGTTAATTGGGGTTTACCAGAATTGTATATCATTTATGAATGGGCAGACAACAGACATTGTTCATCATGAACTTTGGTAGGCATGCTAGAGATCAGAATTTTTTTTTCACAGGAACTTGAAATTCTATCAATATTAACGATAATATCCAAAATATACAGGTCTATAATATCCAACATATACCCCCAATATGATAGAAATTTATTTATATTATATAGGGGATATTTTTGGATATCATCATTAATATTTGATATTTGATAGAATTTCAAGTTCATGTGGTATTTTCTTTGGAACATGTAACAAAATAGTAGTCAAATGAACAAAGTCTGTTAATTGATTTATTGGGAGGTCAATCTACTATTTTAATGAATTACTTCAAAAACATCATCTGACCCACCAGTGTGTATACATTCCTATCAATAAACCTATAAAAACTTGTGTTAAAATTGCAAACGAAAGTTTCTGTTGTCAAATTGTCACAATATTCGGCAAGTGAACATTCCACTCAAACTACCATAAAATCAATTGCCTTCAAACAAAAATATAGAACAGTTAGACTTGAACTATAGAATACTACTGCTAGACCTGTTAATAAAAGCGACATTTAAAGTTATGAACTAGGTCTATTTAAATATTCACGATAAAAATGTCATAAGTGCAATCAGGGCCGTAAAAAAGAAAACCGGAGAGACATGTGGAAAAGACAATTTCAAAATTATTTCATTTCCTGCAAAATTATCCAGTTCGTTATTTATTACCATAGTGCGACACGAATGATCGTTTTGTTTAACTAAAACTACTTCTATAAATAGATTTTCGGACTTTCACAATGTTAAGGTCATCATTATATTTATAGGTACAGCAGTAACATACATAATAACCCACATGATTAATAAAAAACACAAAGAGCGCGATTAATTGACGGATAAGACAATTTCATTTGAATATGTTTGCATTGCGAAATTCTCCAGTTCGCAATTCATTGTACATATCCCGACATTTCATTTTTGATAATCAAACACCCTCATACCAATCGGAATGATCGGCTATTATGACAGACGAAAAGGCCCGAGAAGTTGCAATTGCCCTTTCACAAAATCTGATTTCATTCCATAAGGGGCGTCGCGCTTCGGCGCGGATGCCAACAATGCCTAGGAACCATCACTTTTTATTGCATGATTTGGGGTTTACTGCCATTTTTTACTTCTCTGCTTAATTTTTTTTTGTCTTGATCATTAAGCTTAAAAAGTATGGAGATATTAATTTGAAACTTCACAGATATAGATCTTATTGAGTAATGTGCTATATTTAAGAACCATAACTCTTTTGCATACTTTTGGAGTTATTGCCCTTTGTATTTTTCACTTTAATTATTGTAAGCATAACATTAAAAGTGTTAGTACTCACCAGATATCAGTTTAAGGATAATAAAGAGACAAATCTCAATTAGAAGAAAAGACCAAAGTCAAACTTTATTCAAGATCGACATTAAATGTCATAGAAGTAGCAACAAACTTTATACAGAGAAATGCATTTTCTGGGCATAGAAGAACATTTCAACTATATAATGTACAGATTGCAACTAAAAAAACTAAGTACACTTTTACAGCCATAATTTTATTTTACAAGCATAGAATGGAACATAGGCATTTCTGACTTGAAGTCAAATTTAACATCCCTAAAGAAAAGTACTGCCTTAAAAAATGGAAAGTTAAGTAACCCCATGCTTTTCTAATTTTTCCTGATCTTAATTATGTGTGTTTTATGCCTGGAAAAGTGATTTTATGTCCAATTTCCGTCTTTTCCTGCTACTTTACAGCTTGAATTATCATACCTTAATAACAGGCAGTGATTTTGTATCAGAATTGTGTTCATGGCATTCTAGTATTGCATATAAAAGATTTTTAAAAAAAACCCGTTTCTGATAAATTTTCTAACTGTTCAACTTTAATAAATTATATTTTTGATAAAAAGTTCACTTGATGCTTTGGTAGAGTAAAAACTAGAAACAGATTTATTTCAGTTTGGAGCTTGACTTAAATAAATCTTCAATCCTGCAATGCGCAATGATTTCTCAGTTTTTTCCACCAATTTTTATGCCACCCAGAAAATAGTTAAGCGTTTCCCTTTTCGACTTAAAGTTATTCACAAAATTTTCTAAGTTTTTTTCCACATATTTGCCACCCAGAAAATAGTTAGAGTTTCACTTTTCCACTAAAAGCCACTCATTTTCCACTTTCAAAATAAACTAAGTTTCATTTTTCACCAATTTCCACCCTTATGCCACCATAAAAAAAGTCTATGTTCAAATTTCCACTCAATGCCACCTAAATGCCAACAACGGATAGTGCCATTTGGTGGTAATTTTGCCACTTCAGTGGAAAAAGAGTGGAATTTTGTGATTTTCCAGTTAATGGCACCTTTTTTACACTTAATGCCACCCTTTTCAGTGGAAATAGCTGGCAAGTAGTGGCAAATCTAAAAATTTTAAAATGAAGTAAAATGAACATTCATGAATTAATTCATGTGTAAAACAATAGGCTGCTTCAAGCCACCAAATGCCAGTCAGACTCCAGTTTCTCTTCCAATGGTCCAAGGCAAATTCGAATCAATGAAGCACTTACAATATTCATAGCTCCTGAGATTTCATCAGCTTTAACCTTTTCCCTCATATAGACATGTTTTGACGGCTTTTTGTCCCCCCCCCCCTTTTTGAGGCCTCAAACAGTAAAAAAATGCCCTATTTAGGCCCCAAACACTGTTTTTCGTTTGAGAAATGTTGTTAAAAGTGACCACTTTTTCGGCGCGTCCCCCATCAAAATTATACATCAGGGGGTTGACAGAAGGGGGATGTGCCCCATTCTGTTTGGGGGGTTTGAGGTGGGGGCGCTAGTCCCCCTCATCGCCAAGAACATTTTGGACATGTGACAGGCTAAAAATGGCCTCAGGTTGATCTTAAGGTGATGTGTAACCAACGTTGAAAAGCCTTTTACTCTATCTCATTGCATTGAGAAGTGCAGCACTTTGAAATCAGTTTTGATGGAAATTAGAAATGTGTCCATAGGACACAGGTGCCCCCACCGCGACACTGTTCTGTCAATCTTATGACTCTAGGTCAAATTTTTTTTGAAAACTAAAAATCTTTTACTAAGTAAAGGGCAAGAACTTTACAAATACTGAATAAATCCACAAGCAAACCCCAAGGTGCATAAGTACACATGCTGACCAACATTCTTGTAAACTTTCAGGCCTACAACTGAAATACTTTTTGAGCTATGCATGAACAAGTTGAAAATTGCAAATTTATACTACTGTAAGTCAAGGGCAATAACTCTAACAAAACTGAAAAAAAAGTCCCAGGTGCATAGCTTCACAGTGATATGAATCATTATTCCTGTAATTTAGTGATGTTGATCATTATTCCTGTAAAGTTGGTTGATTCTAACTCAAGCACTCAAGAACAAATAATAACATAATGAAACAGTTTTTACAAAGTCAAGGGAAATATCTCTACAAATACTGGATAAATCCACAAAACTAAATATGCTGAGCAACCTTCCCGACTCTATGTCAAATCCTTTTTGAGTTACATGCGACACAAGTTGAAAATTGCAAAAAATTTCTAAGTCAAGGGCAATAACTCTAAAAATACTAAATAAATCCAGATAAAAATACCCAGGTGCACAACTACACATGCTGATCAATATTCCACTCTAGGTCAAATACTTTTTGCGTTACATGCGACACAAGTTGAAAATTGCAAAATTTTACTAAGCCAACGGCAATAACTCTAAAAATACTAAATAAATCCAGACGAAAATACCCAGGTGCACAACTACACATGCTGATCAACATTCCTTTTAAGTTTCATGACTCTAGGTCAAATACTTTTTGAGTTACATGCGACACAAGCAAAATTTTACTAAGTCAAGGGCAATAACTCTAAAAATACTAAAAATATCCAGACATAAATACCCAGGTGCACAACTACACATGCTGATCAACATTCCTGTAAAGTTTCATGACTCTAGGTCAAATACTTTTTGAGTTACATGCGACACAAGTTGAAAATTGCAAAATTTTACTAAGTCAAGGGTACTAAATATATCCAGACGAAAATACCCAGGTGCACAACTACACATGCTGATCAACATTCCTTTTAAGTTTCATGACTCTAGGTCAAATACTTTTTGAGTTACATGCGACACAAGCAAAATTTTACTAAGTCAAGGGCAATAACTCTAAAAATACTAAAAATATCCAGACATAAATACCCAGGTGCACAACTACACATGCTGATCAACATTCCTGTAAAGTTTCATGACTCTAGGTCAAATACTTTTTGAGTTACATGCGACACAAGTTGAAAATTGCAAAATTTTACTAAGTCAAGGGTACTAAATATATCCAGACGAAAATACCCAGGTGCACAACTACACATGCTGATCAACATTCCTGTAAAGTTTCATGACTCTAGGTCAAATACATTTTGAGTTACCGTACGTGCGACACAAAAGAGAACGGACGGACGGAAGGACGGACGGACAAGGGTAAATGTAAATGCCCGCCACTAAGTGGGGGCACAAAAAACAATGCAAAATAGTGATTTTTCACAATTTTGAGATGTCCCCTTGTTGCCGTGGTAACAGGAAATTTAAGATTGAGCATGTTGTTACAGAGTTTATGGTTCTGTCAACACATGTGCCAAGTTTCATCAGTATTGAAGCATTTTTTCATACTTTTATAGCAGTTGGAACTTGTAACAGGAGGCTTTTCAATGAAAACGGCCATTTTCATATTTATGCTCATTGGGTGAAAGGTTAATAGGTGAGTCAAAATTTGAATATTAACTAGAAAAACTGAATCAAAAGTACCAGGTCCGAGCACTATTCATGACTGTGTAGACCACTCAAGATTTGAAGTGAAACAAATACATAATATCTACTTTTACGGAAAATAATTGTTATTAATTATTTCTGTAAACAAGAACCGGTTGAACTGGGTGATGCTCCCCCGATAAGGTTTGGACACAGGAAAGTATTAAACAAGAGGGCCATGATGGCCCTGAAACCGCTCACCTGTATATAGGCCACTGGGCCAGTTTTAAACTATTTGAACAAACATGGTTGACACCAATTAGAAGATGTTTCATGATAAATATCTAAGCTCTAGCTCTTTGGGGTTTTAATAAGATTTTTTAAGTTTTTACTATATACACTGTAGCCTCAATGTATCGCTCTCTGTTATAATGCTAATCTCAGTAAAGCGCTCATAGACCTTGGCTCCCAAAAGAAATTTTTTTTAAAATTCATGTAGATCTAGATTTATAGGGCGCTATAACGCTTGTTCAAATGGACAGTCAAGTACAATAAGCAATTGTAATTAGGACATTTATGAGTGCATAAAGGTGTGAAAAACCAATCTCCTACGCAATGATCTCCCCTTATCAGTACAGAGATCTCTGCCATCACAAACATTGAAATATCAATATTTTGATATTTATATTTTTTAGCTTTTTAATTTATTTTTCATTATTTTTTATACTTTTGATAATTTTTTAATAAGATATAACAGACATAGGTGTAAAAAATTAAAAATAAAACAGAAAGAGAAAAATGACGTTAGATTTTCTATTTAACGGTCAATATTTACATTTGAATTTCGACGTTACATCATGTGACTTTCATCATCGTCTGTGAAGGCAGTGATTACAATTCAGCCAAGGGAGGTAATCACTGTGAGGAGTTTGGTGAAAAACATGCACCGGTTAGCGTTTATCTGCTCTTTTGTTGTTTTACCTGTCCATCAGGCAGACATCAAATTGTTTCCAAAATCTCAAATTCATATTATAACTGTCACATGGGCAACCGGTGGAGAGTATAAATAAACTAAAAATTCACACACATATCTGTGACATGTAAACCTCGCTGAATTAAATAACCCACACAAGCCCAAAATCAATTTAAAATCCTGCACTGTATATAGAATGGCCAAGAAGAGAGAAAAAATTGGCATTTGATTAACTAGGGGACACAACTAAAGCTGGACTGAAACGACTAACTGTTTACAATACATTCATGATTTATGTTTTTCTTTCGAAAGTTTTTGTTTCTTTTAAATATAATTAGTATTATTTGTGAATATAGGGAAAAATAATGACCCCTCCCCCCCCTGGGAGGGGCCAATTTTGACCCATGGGCTTTTATTTGAATAAACTTGGTAGACACTCACTAGAAGATATTTCATGCTTAGTATCTAAACTCTAGCTCATTGGGTTTTTTATCAGAAGATTTTTTGAGTTTTTACTATACACATATACCTTGGGAAATCAATAACCCCCTGGGTGGGGCCAATTTTAACCCAAGGGCCCTTATTTGAACAAACTTGGTAGACACCTTTAACAAGATGTTTCATGCTAAATATCTTAGCTCTAGCTCTAGATTTTTAAAGTTTTAACTATATACAAATAAGGAAATTCCAATGACCCCCTGGGGCGAGGCCAATTCTTAACCTACGGTTTTTATTTGAACAAACTTAGTAGACATCTACTAGAAGATGTTTCATGCTTAATATCTAAGCTCTAGCTATTTCGTTTTTTTTTAAAAGAACATTTTTTAAGTTTTTACTATGTATAAATAAGGAAAATCAATGAACCCCCCCCCCCCGGGTGTGTCCAATTTTGAACCCAGGGCATTTATTTGAACAAACACTGACTAAATAATGTTTCATGCCAAACATTTAAGCTCTAGCTCTTTGGGGTTTTTAAAAGAGGATATTTTTAATTTTTTCTTTCCGTTGCCATGGCAACCAGAGTTTTGCTTGGAATGAAATTCTTTGAACAATTTTTAAAGTTGACTACCAAAGGAACATTTCTGTGAAGTTTGGATGAAATTGGCTTAGCGGTTTATGAGGAGATGTTGTTTAAAGTAAAAGTTTACGGACGGACGCTGGAAGGACGATGGACAGACGCCGGAAGAAAAGCGATCACAAAAGCTCACCATATCACTTTGTGACAGGTGAGCTAAAAATGAACAAAGGGCAAGGCAATGTTATGTTTTTTTGCACTGCACTTCTATTCAATGAGATCTATCTATCTATAAAGTTTCGTGATCATATCTCTTATAGTTTCAGAGTAATGTCCCGGGTAAAATTCAAAGTATAACAAGAGCCACCGCCGGGCTCGACTTTTTACTTTTTCTAAAAGCAAACAAAGAAATGTTTGAACAAATCTTAACGTTTCCTTTTTATCAATTTAAACTGTCTGTCTTGTCACATTAGTTTTGTCTATATATTTTGTATATATATACATACACATTTATATATATATAATTATATATACGCATTTATATATATATATACAGTGAAAGTTGAGAAAACCGGACGGCTTTCGGACCGAGGGTTTTGTCTGGTTTTCTCAGCGGTCCAGTGTTCTCAATGTCCCCTTTAGAATCCTATGTACCGAGCACTGACTTACAACGGATGCTGTATATTTGGATTTTCATGATCATATGAAAGTAAATTGCTTAAGAAATGATAAATTACAAAGTAACATGTTTTATTTATTTTTGTCACTTTATTGCATCTAAATAAATAAAATTTTGATTTAAAACAAATAGCAGTTACCTCATAATGGTACAGTCCTATTATATCTGCACATGTTTACATTTGGGTACTAGGATAATGATTTAATGAACATAGTTTACTTCGTTGATATTTTGGTAAATGAATATACAAAAGCAACGCAGTATAAAACTACTCAATTTTTTTATTTATACTGATTTTAACTACCAATTCCTCGTACATTTTGGCATTAATATAAAACGGTTACATCTATGCCTTACAATAACTCAAACTGTGAAAACGGACATAATAAACAAATCAGACAATCAGTGTCCCATTACCGCTCAGTTAGCATTTTAGACACAACCAATTGACAAGAACAAAAAGTTATTCACACCTTCATCGTCCGGTATTGCCAGGGTAATTATCTATATAATTGACTTCATGGTCCCCTATCAACTGTCCAATGTTCGGTTTTTACAGATTCCGGTATTGTCAATGTTTAATGCAAAAGTTTAACGAAGGGACAATTTGGGACTGAATTAATCGTCCGGTATTTAGAGAGTTCCGATTTTCTCAGCGTCCAGTTTTCTCAACTTTCACTGTAGTGTATATGCATTTATATATATTTCTTTAACAATGAATTTGTAAGGTAAATCTTTCATCTATTGCTGCATGTTAAAATGTTGGTAACTTTACATGCCTTAAGCCCTTTCACTTTGAAAAACATAGCAGAACATACCCACTGAGCCAGTTTTTTCGTCATATGAATAATTTTGTAACAAAAATTATTATTAATATTAAGTAGTTCTCTTTAAATATTGATGTGTCATTTATTTAAATGGGAACTGTAAATATTTTTACCTGCAGCCATAGACAAATGCATAAGCTTTCAGAAAATGTATTATTTTCCTGATTTTGATATCTGATTAATAAGTTTTACTTGCTACAATTTTTAGGTTTAGCAGGCACGCGTGATTTTTTTAACTGGTTAGGAAGTTGCCTATCTCTGTTATCTATGTCTCTGGTGATATCATATAGAACCCCGGGCTATTTTCTGCTTAAACTTCACTTTTTACTTTTAGGGTTTTTTTGTTCTAAAACTTTAATTTGCTGTAAAATCATTTAAAGAACGCATACATATTAATTAACATAGTTATTTAAACAGATAAATGCACCAATTTTATTGATATAAAAAATAAATCTTATTTTCGTAGCCGCGAAAACAGCTTATTTCGGTATTCATCTATCCAGTATACTATACCGCGAGACTATCGATTCTGTTATGTCAGAATATTGACCAACACATATGAGTAGGATACATAAACTTTTGACATAACCTAAAAATATATATCTAGAAAGTTGTATCGCTTATATTACAATATTTACTTGTCTAAGTGTCCTGAAATTCAAGATATTTTAATAAATGTCATGGGCGCCGCCATTTTTTTGACTGGTTTTGAAGGGGGATACTAATCGACGGTCTCCGGTCTCCGACGGTCCCCAGTCTCCAAAGACCGTCGAAGACCGTCAATTGTAGGAGACCGTCGATTAGTAGGTTATTACACAAATCGACGGTCTCCAGGTTATATACGTAATTAAATTTGAAAGACAGAATGACAAATAAGCAATAACACTTTTATTTTCAGTGATTAATGTCAATAGTTTAGAATGTTTAACGGGTATTTAATCACTGAAAATAAAAGTGTTATTGCTTATTTGTCATTCTGTCTTTCAAATTTAATTACCCGTGCCGTGTTTTAATGCAAAAATATACAGTAATAATGAAAAAAAAGAAGAAATGTTTTGATGGTTATTAATATCTTAATAGAATTTAGATGTTGTGTTAGTTCAGTTGTAATTGAACAATAATCAATTAATTGTCTTAATGGAAAATAAATACATTTATCACACACCCGTGCCGATTTTACGACTCCGTAAATATGGTATTGCACGGCCGTGCATATATTTTGACGTGACGTCATTAGCGTTATACAAACATAGTGTAAAGACGCGCTAAATGTTAGCGTTATACTATAGGTGCGTCAATGAAAAATGACTCTTATTTCACTTTAAACGGTCTATATTTTGGTTATGTGATAAATAGAATATCAAATTCGTGTAAGTCAATACTGAATATATTGCACCATTCAATGTCCTCTATTTTTGACTTAATATACGTAAAGATATTTTAACAACAAAAGACCGTCGACGATAGGACCGTCGATTAATAGGTTATTATACGAGATTTAGTAAAATCAGGTCAATAAGCATTTTTTCTAAAATAAAATAATCGTTAACTTAAAAATGTTTTTGTTTTTCTACGTGGAAAATCGAATAATTTAATCTAGTTTGTTGATAGCTTTCAGTTATTACATTTCGCAAAAGGGTAGATGAGAATAACAATAAATAACGGATTGGACTGTTTGCGAAATGTAATATCCAGGCCACACCGTGGGAAGGAACTCTCTCATGGCCCAACCTTACTTTATTAAAAGAAAAAATGTGAGATAATGTATTTAAAAAAAATCACATGAAAGTTAGAAAAGTAACAAAAATATAATTAAAAAAATTTATTAGAATGAAAAAATCGTCAACTTCTGTCTGGAAATAAAAAAAAACTAAAAGATAAAAAGCTATTAATATAAGGGCCTTCTTTTTACTGAATGAAAAGAAAACGATGTTTAAAACAATGAAACCTGTTGAATTGACAAATGACCAGTTGAATTGACAAATGGAAAAGGCAAAAATAATGGTTTACGAAATATACAAAAATGCAAATTTAAACAAACAAAAAAACACACTTAAAGGCAATGTATAGTCTGATTTTATTGACCTGTCAATTATGAATACATTATAGCGCTCATTTAAATATTCGATCCCACTTCGGGTTTGTCCGTTTATTTTACGAGAATTGATATGGAGTTTATGACTAACATTTTAAAAACTCCCACTAGCTTAATGTAGATTTTCGTAACATCCGCAATAGCACAGTCGGTTAAGTGAATATCTAATGAATGAGAGGTCCGAAGTTCGATCCATTCTTTTTAAATCCTTTTTAGGCTTATTCTTTCTTTATATTTATGTATATTTTAATGAAAATTGTCAAGCGTTTGCAAAATTGTCTAAACGGATATGAAACAACTAAGAAACATTGAATTGTCACGTTTTGTATTGTAAAAAAATGTTGAAAATAGTTATGAATAAGAAAAAAAATGGACATACGCTGTCTCGATCTTACAACACGTAGGGCATTTAGACAATATATACTCGTAGTTTACCCTATTTCGCTATAACGGTCAGTGTAACTACTTCATAGAAACAAGATTAATTTAATAACATTTTACTGCGTACATCTCACGGAATTTACCGATCATTTATCGGATATTAATATATTCTGTGCATTGACCGTATAATCAGTATGGAATTGACAGGTTAATAAAATCAAACAATAAATAAAATAAAACCAGCTAATTTATTTAAAATTATAAAGTACGTAAAATAAAACATGAACATAGTAAACATTTTATTACATTTATGCAATCAATTATGGAATAATGCAAAAAATGTGAGAGACTGTTTTATAAAAAAAATTTCACAAGAAAAGTTACAAAAAATTTATTTCAGAAATTTATTAAAATTGATTTCTTTATAGCACAATTTTTGTTTTAAAAATCGTCTGGAATAAAAATTTAAAACATAAAAAGCCGTTAATATAAGGGCCTACTTTTTACTGAATGCAAAGAAAAACCAAGTTTAAAATAATCAAACCTGTAGAATTGGCAAATGAAAAAGGCAAAAATAATGTTTAAGGAAATGTACAAAATGCATTTATATACAAACAAGAAATATACTAAAAGCTAATGTGAAGAAAAAAGACATTGCGCCGCCTGTCAATCAAGCTGGCAGGGGTCATAGTGATAATTAAGCTAATCAGCGATCGCTATCAGTTTCACACTAAGATGCCTGCGAAGTCCACTATTTTCCTTAGACAAACTACTTGTCTAAGACAATGGTGCAGAAGTAATTTAGACTGAAATTATTTTAATTTTCTGTCCA